GTGTACCCACTTTTGTTGCCAGCAGTTTAGACATTAATAGCTGTGTGTTGCGTTATTTTGAGGAGATAGCACATTTATACAAGTTATACAAGCTGTATACTCACTGCTTTACATTGTAGCCAAATGTCATTTCTTCAATGTTGTCACATGAAAAGATATACTTAAATATTTACAAAATGTGAGGGGGTGTACTCACTTCTGTGATATACTCTGTGTTTGTGTATGTATATATATATATCTGAAAACCAGAATTACTTTCATTTATTGGATTTGTATTTAACATTGTACAGGATGATTAAATGAAGTTTTTAGTTGAATCTTGATGGTTAAAAAAAAGCCTGACTCCTAGTTACCAGATGGCATTTGGTAAATTCATGGCATTTCCCTCAGCAGCAATTCAGAAATGGCTTGCCATTGCACGTTACCAAAAAGTGAGGCAATGTTAAATGAGTATCAGAGAAGTTCTGCCTTAATAGAATTGCCAGTAACAAAAATAAATCAAGCCCAATGTAACACAACGCTATGCAAGAGTTCAAGTCCTATAGGACAACATATCAAGTATGGCAAAAGGGATGCAAAAGGGAGAAAAGGAATCTGTAAATAAAGATACAAAACTTTCCAAGAATAGAAATCTGATACTAATCAAGAAAATGTCAGAAATGAAGACTCCCCCTCCAAGTCTTTTTCTACTTGACACTCTCCAGATACGCAGAAATTACAACTCTTAGAATTCATAGCCAACACTGCTAAGAAAAACTGCTCCAAACCACTATATGGTGAATCAGAAACAGGCAGTAGCACACTTTAGACTTACACAGTCCCTCTTTCATTGTACATAAGCACAAGAGTTTCTGGTGTAAATTAATGACAAGTGAATTGTGCCACTGGGTCCTAATACAGCATGTTCTCCCCACCCAGCCCCCGGATCTCAAATTACATTTTTTTAAAAAATCAAAGCTTCTTCTTTCTTCAGTACAACTTTCTTCTTTTAAAATAGTTTTATATAGTTTTTAATGTGGCACTGTATGTTGTTTTCAGGAGCCACCCAGAGTTACCTATATAAGATGGGTAGCTTACAAAAATTTTAAATAAATAAATAAAATAATCATAGTTCCATTTTTGATCAGAGTTCTGTAATGAGTATTGTATGTATATTGTAACAATGAAAGAAGACGGTAACTATCAACTCAAACATTATTAAATCCTAATTAAAACAGACATTAAGGAAAGGATGAATTTACACATAAAAAGAGATGTCAACATAAGACATGGTTAAGAGATGGAAACATTAGAGATCACATCTAATACAGATGACACAGAGATGGCAATGAATAAAAAGACTATCACCAAGGCGGCTTAATTATTGTCTCCCTATTTGTTTCAGAATATTCATTTAATTATATTTTTAAATGACAGTGGTGATGATGATGGTTCTAACATAGCGAGAAAGTTTTCAGGTAATTAATAATCTGAAAACTTTAAAATTATGTAAATAGGAAAAAAGGTTATGGTAACTTAAATAGAGCATCCCTAGTTGTGGGGAAATTATTCAGAATATTCTATTAGAATGTTCTCAAAGAAACAACATGCTCCCATTTTTTTAATGTACTCCAAGTATCAAGCTAAATAAAAATAATTTAAAAATGCATCCTAGAACCCTCAATATATATAGCACAAAGCACTACATTGCTACAGAACATATTAATACTGATATTTCTTGGCTAATTCATGGCATTTTAGTAATTACTAGCTAAGGAGCAGAATATAAGAAAGCAAAGTCCTAAATCAATTATTTTCATTATATGACATTAGAGTCCTCTTGGCCTATTGCTGGCATTTAGCTGAACTTCCTCCTCTGCCAATAGTATATTGTTCAATTATTTATTAAAAATATATGTTATGCCAACTTCTGCTTCTTATGTATTTGAATAAGTCCTTACTTCTTTCTTGTTATACAACAAAAGTAAAGAAACAATAGTCACTTGGATACTAGCTTTAAGCTTCTTCAAAAGCTGATGCAATAGAATTATTCTTCCATTCATGCATACTCCATGTTATTGCTCAACTATCCAGCAATACAGCAAATTACTCACATTCTCTACTTCCTTACCTGGCTTACACACCCCATTGGGTGTTTACGCAACAGGGCTATGAGGAATGCTTAATCATGGTGCCAGGACTTAAGATACAGTGAATTATCCTTCTTGATGTGACCTTCCTGTTCTAGTCCATCTTAAAATGTATATGTCATAGGTAATTACAAAAGATCAATACAGTACATCAAGAAAGTTCAATCGTAATATCTACGCACAAAGAACAAACAGCTGCTTCCTTCCAGAGCCATAAAAATAGGGGAAGGAAGGAAGCAGCACAGCAGAGAAATATACAGCCTCAAAACTTCAGATAGGTTCCATGTGCCTGCAAGATAACTTCCCTTCAGAATTACATGAAAACAAGGGACGCAAAGTCAAAATCAACATGTTATCCCATGGTGTCCTCATGCTTCCCTTACTTTAGGGAGAATGAATCAAATGAATTTAAAGGAACCCCTTCCACTAACCTCAACTATCATACTGAAGCATCATCTGAGAAGACACCCCCACTTAAACTATTCTCTTAACTATTGAAGGGTGCATCAATAGTTAAGAGAAACAAGCAAAGTAACCTGAAATAAAGATACCAAAACTGCAGAGAACACTTCAAACAGGACTAAAAATACAGGTAGTTCTCGACTTCGTTTAGTGACCATTCAAAGTTACAACAGCACTGAAAAATGATTTTTTTTCACCTTTGCAGCCTCCCATGATCATGTGATCAAAATTAAGATGCTTCGCAACTGACTCATATTTATGACTATTGCTGTGTCCCAAGATCATCTGATCACCTTTTGTGACCTTCTGACAAGCAAAGTCAATGGTAAAGCCAGTTTCACTTAACAACCAGGTTACTAACTTAACAACTGTAGTGATTCACTTAACAACTCTGGCCAGAAAAGTCGTAAAATGGGGCAAAACTCACTTAACACTTAACAAATGTCTCACTTAACAACAGAAATTTTGAGGTTTTACTTACGTACAGAGCTATTGATCTATGTGCAAGAGATCAAGAAGAAAATTGACAACTGGAATTCTTTTATTCTTTATTGGCCAAGTATGATTGGACACACAAGGAATTTGTCTCCAGTGCATAAACTCTCAGTTCTTAAATAATACATTTATATACCGTGCACAAGTTTTTCAAATGCATTCATGCACTCTCACAATCCCTATAACGGTATATATTCACTTTAACTGCTTCTCTAATATCCAATTATTTTTTTAAAAAATGGAACCTTAATAACATTCCAGAGGTAATTAGAGATTCATCCAAATGTTCGCCATAACAATTGCCCACTTATAAGCCTGATCATATCAACTATAGATGACAGCAGATTTTAAGATATCAAGTTTCTATAAATAGCTGCTACTTCCTCTGAAATGATCAAATACAAATCTGGCTTTAAAACTGCCCTTTGTTCCATATTTGATTGATCCTCAAATTTATGTAAAGGAAAGGAGATAAACCTTCTTTGTATCTCAAGTTGTGTTCTGCAGTGGGTGCAACATCCCAATAGGCTTTTCAAATTCAGAGGCACGTCCTCATCGTAAAACCTTGGTTTCCTTTCAAGAAACCCTTGGTGTTGGACAATGGATAAAAATCAACAACAGTAAAGCTGTTTATGCCTACCCACAGAGAAAAAAACAAGAAGAAAAATTCAGCTCTTGTGTTGCTATGTACATGACGGTTCTAATGTCTAATGCCCAACCCTTAGCAATACTGTGAGAGAAAGTCCATTTTATCTGTGATGTAAAGAAGGGCAAGGGGAGCATTTTCCCAAGATAAAAATGAAGGGATAAGAAAATTTCAGCCTTTCAGACAAGCCACTGTTAAATCCCAGAAACTTTATCAGTAGAACACTGACAGTATTCCCCTGTATCTGCATCATTTACAATTCATGAAGCTTTTTTTTCTAAGATATTTTTATCTGCTAATAACCTGTCCACTCCACAGAGCCATTTAAGAAAGGGGGAAAAAACCTAGTTTGGCAAATAAACAAGAGGAAGTCTTTTGCATTTGCTGTTCCAGCGGGGAAAGCTTTTGCATACAAAGATGAAGTGGCAGAAAAACTTTTTCCAACGAATGTACGCCAGGCATCCATTAAAGTCAAGGGATCCTTCCCCCCACAACTTGAAAAAAAATTATCTCCAAACACCCAAAAAATGGGCAAATTTAAAAGAGAAACGCTTTGCACTCCTTAAGACAGACAGCTTTACTTGGTAGAAAGAAGATCAAGAAAACATCAGCTGCTGGATATTTCTCAGCACAAGACAACCTCAAAAATGGGGTGCAGAGGGAGGAGGGGGGAAAGCTACAACATCCACAAGCAGAAAAGCAAGTGGACAACGCCATGGGCAAGACAAACCCAAACCCCACAAAATACACCGCTACGATTTTCAAGTCCTGCAGAACTCTCCACCGTGTAAAATGGCTTGCGTTCCGATTGATTAATTGATCGATCGATTGATTTTTGCATCCATTTGCATCCAGTGTATTTTTCAAGAGTCCCAATTTGGACAACGAATTCATCCTGGGTTTTTACTAACTAACCCCAATTGATAAGGTCCTTTAAAGAGATTGCGCAGCTTAGAGGGGGAAAGCTTCCCGAGGCAACTCTTTTTAAGAGGCAGGCGGGCTGGGCAAATAAAGAGATGGAGTGGCGGGCATCCCTGACGGGGAGAGCAAGCTTCCTTTGGCCCGAAGTCAGTGGGGGGGGGGGGGGGGGGGGAGGGGGGGGGGAGAGACAAAATGACACGCATTCTCCCCCTTGGGCGCTTCTCCCCCACAACCCGCGGAAGTGGCGAGACCGGCCGTCCTATACTCTCTCCCCCCCCACACACACACACACATCCCGCGTCACGAACCCGCCACGCACCCTTCCTTCTGCAGGGCAGCGCTTTTACCTTCGCAGAGGTAGCCCGCCAACCCCCAGATGAAGTCGGTGCAATAGTGACAGAAGGTGGGCTTGGTGAGGGTGACCCTCTTGAAGCCGTGGCCGGGCGGGCTGCCTCGAGCCGTCGGCGGGGGCGGCTGCTGCTTGGGGGAGGCAGGCGGCGTCTGGTGCTGGCGCTGGTGGTGTTGCTGCAGCGAAGTCGAAGAGGACGACGGCGACGGCGTGGGCAGCGAGCGGCTCTTGCCGCCTCTGGCCATCAGCGGGCTGGACGAAGGGCTGGAGCCGCGGCTGCCTCCCAGCAGGGAACGGGCTCCTTCTGCCATGCTCAGGCGGCAATTGTTGCCGGCGTTCCCGGATAGCGCAGCCTCCCGCTCCTCCTTTCCAAGCGGACGCCGGGCGCTTCGCTCTTTTTTCTTTTTGCTCCCTGCTCCGGGGACGCCTCCGGGGACGCGCCGCCAGCGGCAACAGCAGCAACAGCGGCGGCGGCGGCTCTTAAGCGAGACTTCCGCCGCGCTTGCCAGGCAAGCCAGAGAGCACGGCGGGCCGTGGGCGAAGAGGAGGAGGAGGAAACAGACGGAGGGAGAGGGAGGGAGGGAGGGACGCAGAGGGCGGCGCTTGGCGGCGCCGACGGCCGCTATCCGGCCTTCGCCTCAAGGCCGCCTCCTGTCGGGCTGGCCGCGAGCGAGCAGGAGTCTGAGGAGAGGTGAGGAGGGCGCCGACGCCTCGAGCCCTCAATGGCAGCGTGGCGCTCGGTGCCAGCCTTTTTTGCTCGTCTCTCGGGGGGGATATCAGACCTTCCGCTCTGGATGCGGCACCGACGCCTCGAAGAGTAACGGTCGGAAGCGTTAGTCAGACAAATGGCGGCACCCACCTGCCTCTCTTGCCCACTTTAGAACTCAGAATAAGTTAATTATTGCCACTTTTAATGTGGGCTAATCGGCATGCATTACAATGAAATTTGGTTGCCTAAAGCTCTCAAAGGGTCACCAACCTCTAATATGCACTACATAAAACATGACACAATCAATCAATCAACCAATATGTGCATATACCCACATATATTACACGACAGAGAAACAACACAGTCGGTTTTGGATGTATACAGGTAAGTGGTGAGAAAAAACGAATCTTTCGAGTTCACCCTACTAATTGGGGCATATAAGGAAGGTGACCAGGGCACTTCGGCTGAAAAAGTCCTCACGGAAGAGTCATGCCGAATTCTTGGCCGACATCTACTCTACTACTGTAGTCATCGGGATTTTTTCCAGGTCAGGTATAATAGCCCTAATACCGGTAGTCCTCGTTTTACAACCACAGTTGAGCCCCAAATTTATGTTGCTGAAACACTGATCAAGTGAGTTTTGCCCTATTTTACAAGCTTTCTTGCTACTGTTGTTAAGTGAATCGTTGCAATTGTTATGTTAGTAACATGGTTGTGAAGTGAATCTGGCTTCTCCATTGACTTTGCTTGTCAGAAGATCAAAAAAGCTGACCCCAGGACACTGCAAGCGTCATAAATATGAACCAGTTGCCAAGCATCAGAATTTTGATCCTGTGAGGGATGCTGCAATGGTCATAAGTGTGAAAAATGGTCATAAGTCACTTTTTTCACTTCTGTTGTAACTTTGAACTGTCACTAAATGAACTGTTGTAAGTCGAGGACTGCCTGTAAAGGACGATTTCACTTTTTTCTTTTCTTTTTTGTCCTTCCAGGCTATGTTGATCCCTGGCGACTGCCTGGGCAAGTCCCTGGAGTTTTCTTGGCAAGGTTTTTCGGAAGTGATTTGTCCTTGCTTTCTTCCCAGGGTTGAGAAAGAGGAACTGCCCCAAGATAACCCAGGTGGCTAATACTCATGGTGGCTAGTAATCATGGTCTCCCAGTTTTTAGCCTGGTACCTTAACGCCTTCATCAGGAGTGTCTAACCTTGGCAACTTTAAGACTTGTAGACTTCAACTCCCAGATTTCCCCAACCAACATCTCAACTTAATTTATAAAGGTAAAGATTTACCATGTTCAGTTGTTTCTGACTCTAGGTGGTAGTGCTCATCTTTGTTTCTTAACCGAGTGAGCCAGTGTTGTCCGAAGACATTCCTGTGGTCATGTAGCCAGCACAGGGGTGAAATCCAGCAGGTTCTAATAGGTTCTGGAGAACCAGTAGCAGAAATTTTGAGTAGTTCAGAGAACCGGCAAATTTCACCTCTGGCTGGCCCCAGAGTGGGGTGGAAATGTAGATTTTGCAATATCCTTCCCCCAGGAGGGGAGGGAATGGAGATTTTGCAGTGTCCTTTCCCTGGCCTGGGGTGGCAATGGAGATTTTGCAATATTCTTCCCCTGCCACACCCACCAAGCCACGCCCACAGAACCGGTAGGGAAAAATTTTGGATTTCACACCTGAGCCAGCATGACTATACACTGAGGAGCACAGAATGTTGTTACCTTCCCATCAAAGTGGTACCTATTTATCTACTTGCATTTGCATGCATGCTTTCGAGCTGCTAGGTTGGCAGAAGTCCACAAGTCTTAAAGTTGCCAAGGTTGGCATCCCTGCACTACATCAACCTGGTCTTAACTAATAGTTTCTTGTTTTTCCCTTTGAAACCATGGGGCGATGGTCACCTCTGATGAGGCATTCAAAGATACAAGGCCTCCTCCAGGGTGTTTTTAGAAACAAGCAGTCTAAACATGCTCAGAGAATCTTCTGCTGGATACGTGTTTGAAAGTGTCATACTTTTTTTTTAAAGACCTAACTGTTTTGGAACAATATGTGAATGGGAAACAATGGGGAGGTTAATTCTCTGTTTGAATTCTGTTTGAAGCAATAAAATGTTTAAACTGCACATGCTAAACCGAGTGTGGTTATTGATTTATTTTAAGTTATTCTGGATAAAAATAAGCCTATCCTTCACAGATACAGGAACATTGGCCTAGCAATGTTTTAAAATTAGCATTTTTGTTTAACTAGTCATGTCCTAGTTCAGTTAATATTAAAAGGAGTAAGGGTAGATTCATACCTCTCTTAGGATCATTCTGCAGAATTGCAAGTATACAACATTTCAGCAGTCACATTTTAGAGCTCCTGAATCAATGAAACTATCCTAAACTCACCTCTATCCCAACAAGGAGTATAGAGGAAATAATACTTTCTGCATCGCTTCAAAAGTGATATTTCCATCCACATAATTTCTCTGCCACAATCTAGAGCAGTGTTTCTCAACCTCAGCAACTTTCAGATATGTGGGCTTCAACTCCCAGAATTCCCCAGCTAGGACTGGCTGGGGAATTCTGGGAGTTGAAGTACATTGATCAGAAAGTCACTGAGGTTGAGAAACAGTGATCTACACAATGTCTATGCTCCTGTTGACAGAGCAAGCAGCTCTGTCATTACACAGAGCTGCTTGCATGCACTCTCCTGGTCACTCTCCTGCTGCTGTCATTCACAACCATTTTCAGGATGTCTGAATCTTGACAAGAAAAATACACTAGAATAAAACATGATCCCCATTTTTTTAAAATCTCCGGTTCCTTCTCCAGTAGGTGGTACTTCTAAACCTCATTCTATCTGCAGATGCAGCCAGTGTACCAGTTCTTAAGACAAGCAATAACTGAAAAGGATCACTACCCCAGATCTAGTTCTTTCTCTGTTTAAGAAACTGGTTCATGAATGGATCACTAACAAGTGGCTCGTCCTTGTTTTTGTTTTAAACTAGATGAAACTGACAAGTATTCTGCCAGTTTCACATTTTGGCACAAGTGATAAGAAGAAAAAGAACTGAGGACGGTGCTGTGCTACACTAGTCCTTGACATATGACCACAATGGTTGCTAAGCAAGGCAGTTACGTGCGTCGTGTCTGATTTCATGATCTTTTTTGCTGCTGTTAAGTGAATTGCTACAGTTCTTAAATGAATCAGGTGGTTGTTAAGCAAGTCCAGCTTCTTCCATTGACTTTGCTTGTTTGAAGCGGGTTGGAAAGATTGCAAATGGCAATCAGATGATCCCACAATGCTGCAATTTTTGTAAATAGATTCCAGTTGTCAATTTTGATCTTGAGACTTTGGAGATCCTATGACAGTTGTAACGAGAAAGTCTGATCTTGTAAGTGAGGAACAGTGGCAAGTCACTTTTTTCAATCGATTGTAATTTCGAACAGTTGCTTGAACAAACTGTATAGTGTTGTTTTTATACCATTCTGCTGGTAAATGCCCAGGATGGGAAGGTGTAAAGCAGGTGTGTCAAACTCAGTTACCCCTGGTGCAAGGGATAGTGAGTGGAGGTGGGTTCATTAAAAAAAGTTCTATCAATGAAATCCCCGTTTCCTGAAGATCACCTATGGAAAGGAAAGCAACTAGTTTTTATTAAAGAAATAGAGAAGCAGGGAAATCAACCAATCAGGGGCTGTGGCAACTGCTATTTAGAGAGAATGTGTGGCCACAATTATTGCCAAAGCTTAAAATCCAGGCAGAAATTTCCTAAACTCTCCATTTCCAGCTACTTTCAACAAACGAGACAAGCAGCTTAAGGCAATGCAAAAGAATTTTTAAGCCACAAACCAAATTATGTTACGATTTACAGCTATGTGTGAACCATGTCACTGTTTATTTCTGATTACACCAGAATCTTCATTTGCATATTCAAAATCCTTTAAAAAATGTAGCATATACAGCTTGAGAATGTTAAAATGAAATATGGTTGATTTCATGCAACTTCATGGGATCAAAAGCTGAATTAAAGTGATACCAGATCTTCAAAATTATTCACTGCAAACATTATTATCTATAATGCTACATATAAAATAGATTTGGCAATGAAAAAATGGAACATCAGTGCATTACATAAATATTCCACATCCCTACAGTGGAATAAAACTGTTCTTAATTTGAAAAGTGGAATTATTCCTACAGATAGCTAGAGGTATGCTTTAATTCTGTGGGAGTGCAGAACTTGGCACCAACACAAAATACTTTGACTGCTTGCGCTTTCATCTGGAGAGGGGTAGATAGCTAGACAGAACAGGTTTCTGGTTTTGAGGATTGAGAAAAATGTGCTTGAAAGCAGGATGGCAATGCCTACTAATATTTTCCGTGAAAAACTACAGTGCTGCAAATCTTTGCTGTTAAAACATCCAACTTTCCACACACTGCTCAGGAGAAACATGTACATCTATCTTTCATTTTCTTGGCTGTTCATTACTTATCATCTGGTTACTCATACAGTTTCATGTGTGAACTGGCTCCTTTTAAAGTCTCACCTTCAGCATATGTCCCAGAATAGCCATGCAACCTAGAGGCTCACAGGTAATACCAATCCTAGTAAGTGTAATTTAGGGATATTGGGTAACCTCTTGTTTGTTATTTGCTATGTTGTCTAAACCCTGTGACATGATTAGATCATAGATTAAGAAATATAGTGTAGTGCAAAGTATAAATCAGGTTTCTGATTTATGTATCTCCACAAAACAAAACAAAACAAAAATGATCAGAGAAAATAGATTTTATTTTGGCTTTTTACCTCTGTTAATGATTTATTATTTTTTAA